TCGTTTCCGATGTTACACGACCGCTCCGGACCAAACAGCTTTCGCCGGTTAGTGACGTCACGCACGTCACGAGTAGAACACTTTTTGAATAATACACTAACTATATGGCTGATGTCGGACTCTGGCTCTGATATTTCGACAGCATCGAGAGACAGTGAGTCGTCAATAGACTCGGTGCACTTTCAAGAAGAGGAGGATTTTATTGAAGAGGATGCCGGTGTGGTGGAATCAGATCATGCGGGCGAGTCTAACGTGGTGGAACCATACCAGTTTGAGCCACAGTATTCAAGTAGCGGTAGAGATACAGACGGGAGCGAAAATGGGGACGATGATCCTGTCCGGTGCGGCAACAGAACACAGACCGGTATACATTTGACTTTAATTCATAGAGATTCTCAATAAATAGTAAATAAATAATAATAAATAGCAGGCACACTTGGCTCAGGCAACAGAACACAGACTGCTATACATTTGATTATAATTCATAGAGATGTTCATATATAGTAAATAAATAATAATAAATAGCAGGCACACTTGGCTCAGGCAACAGAACACAGACTGCTATACATTTGATTATAATTCATCGAGATGTTCATATATAGTAAATAAATAATAATAATAATACATAGCAGGCACATTGGCTCAGGCAACAGAACACAGACTGGTATACATTTGATTATAATTCATAGAGATGTTCATATATAGTAAATAAATAATAATACATAGCAGGCACATTGGCTCAGGCAACAAAACACAGACTGGTATACATTTGATTATAATTCATAGAGATGTTCATATATAGTAAATAAATAATAATACATAGCAGGCACACTTGGCTCAGGCAACAATACACAGACTGGTATACATTTGATTATAATTCATAGAGATGTTCATATATAGTAAATAAATAATAATACATAGCAGGCACATTGGCTCAGGCAACAGAACACAGACTGGTATACATTTGATTATAATTCATAGAGATGTTCATATATAGTAAATAAATAATAATACATAGCAGCTATATAAGTACAGTCCATTTACCATTCACTGGTATACATTTGATTATAATTCATATGGTATACATTTGATTATAATTCATAGAGATGTTCATATATAGTAAATAAATAATAATACATAGCAGCTATATAAGTACAGTCCATTTACCATTTACTGGTATACATTTGATTATAATTCATAGAGATGTTCATATATAGTAAATAAATAATAATACATAGCAGGCACACTTGGCTCAGGCAACAGAACACAGACTGGTATACATGTGATTATAATTCATAGAGATGTTCATATATAGTAAATAAATAATAATACATAGCAGCTATATAAGTACAGTCCATTTACCATTTACTGGTATACATTTGATTATAAGACTGGTATACATTTGATTATAATTCATAGAGATGTTCATATATAGTAAATAAATAATAATACATAGCAGGCACATTGGCTCAGGCAACAGAACACAGACTGGTATACATTTGATTATAATTCATAGAGATGTTCATATATAGTAAATAAATAATAATACATAGCAGGCACACTTGGCTCAGGCAACAGAACACAGACTGGTATACATGTGATTATAATTCATAGAGATGTTCATATATAGTAAATAAATAATAATACATAGCAGCTATATAAGTACAGTCCATTTACCATTTACTGGTATACATTTGATTATAATTCATAGACACTTGGCTCAGGTAACTGCATCACACTCTGCTAGGCTTGGAACTCACCACAGAAGTAGGTCTCCTCCTAAAAATGCAATTATTTCTCAACTATCTTTTGTACATTTAGGTGTACATGTGAAAAATGTACAATCATGGAAACAATTGAAGAGTGCCAATGCTGCCAAGAAAAGGATGTCATGGTGGCCAAAATGGAGGAATTCAATGAATATGAGGGAGATGGTGCAAACATAACCTGCGTAATAGATCACCCAGGATTCCAATCAAATTGTCTGGATGTTTGGGTGTTGCAGACAGCCTACCATCATTATTCAAAGAGGGACAGACAAAAAGCAGGTGATCAGCCACGTAATGAGTAAGTTACTTGTGTTCACAAATTTGTAGAGCTCAGAAATTTGATGTATTTTTGGGAAGTCATTTTTTTGGGGTTATTATTTTTGGGTCACTCTGGCAAAGTTACAGAATAAATAGATAAATAAGCAAATAAGGTTGAAGTGATTACCATTGACATTTATGATCTTGTATTTTACAGAATGTATCGCTATGTGGCATACCGCCAGCTAGTGAGATTTTGCTGGGGAATACTTGGTAAGAACCACAGAATCCCACTGCCATCATGTGCCATTAAAAAGATCCAGGCGACGTTTCCATCTGACATCTACACGTCGTTCAAGTATCCAGCACTTGATTAGAGTCAATAACAAAACTGATTGTCAGTTCAGTGATTAAATCTGCTTCTAAACAGCGCAACAGCCTCTCTCTTGTCTGGTTTTTCCCATCGACTGCTGAGTGGATCTGGGACATCGAAAGGTTCCTCATCGACATTGTTTTCGCACAAGCGTAGAGTCTCGGTCAAGAGTTCGGTAACATACTCTGCAAAAAAGATGTTTTATAATCAAGAATTATATACTATATTTTCTAGTCCCCCAATTATGCATAGCATGCCCTGAGGCACTTTGCATAATTAATCATTGTAGTTGAAACTGTACACTACATTCTCACATAGCTCAATTTTCAATATTTACACAATAATGTTGTCCAAGATTGAATGTTTTTCATTAATTTGGTAAAACGGTATAATTAATGTTATTATTCTCTCACTTTCACTTTCTTACCATATGTAGCTGCTGTATTCACACGTCTAACTACATGACCACCTTTCTTTGCTTTGGGGAATTTCACAGTGTATTGGAGTTGTCCTGTCCTGGTTTTGGCATGCTTCCTGCCCGAGTTCTCATTGTAGTGCAGTGCTGCTAGGATCAACCTACAAAATAAATACATTTATTGTATAGAGAGAGAAAAAGAAAGAGAGAGAGAGATTTCATAGGGATTTTAGCGTTTGCAGGCCATTTACATGCACACAAACCCATAGATCTCACTACAGGAGAGGGGAAACCCCCAAAAAAGAAGAACTTGCCTAATAGATAAATAAGCAGACAAAGTTGAAGTCTCTAGTATTTTCTGATGAGATTCATATTATACTTTACCTGCAATATATACCAGTGTACGAGTATGCATACATCTTTGGGGCAAACTGGTTGACTATACTGTGGTATACTTCCACCCCGTAGGTTTGCTGTGAAGGTGACATCTTCTTGACATCTCTGACAAAAGCTTTCTGGCTGACAACTTTATTCAGCTTTAGTGCTGGCACTGAATCTGAAAATACACAATCAAAAAAGGATATAGGATATACGATAATAGAAAAAATATTAGTTCTTCACTGCATATCATTTTTCTTTACTGAAGACACAAAAACATTCCAACACAACATTTGATGAGTGGTCCATTGTCGTAGAAAATATTATTACCTGCTTTGAGCCATTTTTTCTTGCGGTTCTGAGCTGCAGGCAGCCGACCATGGGCACATTTCTCGAACACTCTGCCATGTTTGGTGTGAATGTTTATAATGTGGTTGTTGAGGGACAGCCATTTTTCAGCAATCATTTCTCCATTTCCATCCGGAGTTGATACGGCACACCAATACAAATGGTTCAGAATGGATTGTATCCATTCCCCAATATCGGTACATTGCTTGTCCTTTACAAGCTTTACCAGTTTTTTTTTTAGGTCTATAAAATAGAAAGTTCAGTATTTTTTTATTTATTTATTTTTTTTAAATTGGAGAATTTTAATTCTACTATAGTTAAAAAAATTAACCTACTTTTTGCAAGGTGCCAAACGTCGAACCGATGGTCCACATGTTCTTGGTTTTCCTTCAGCCATTTGTTGATCTGTGTGTGTCTGTCTGTCACAT